AGCCTGCAGCCCATCCACATTCAGCAGCCGGCACAGCCTCTGCCACTCCATCACAACTGTTCAGCATGCCATCCTACAGCATCATGCCGCAGCAGCTGCTGCCGCCATTGGCATTCACCCCCACCCTCATCCCCAGCCACTTGCCCAAGTACATCATATTCCCCAGCCCCACCTGACCCCCATTTCCTTATCCCACCTCACTCACTCAATCATCCCTGGCCACCCTGCCACCTTTCTCGCTAGCCATCCCATTCACATCATTCCTGCCTCAGCCATCCATCCTGGACCCTTCACCTTCCACCCTGTCCCACATGCTGCCCTCTATCCTACCCTCCTTGCCCCACGGCCTGCTGCAGCAGCTGCCACTGCCCTCCACCTTCACCCACTTCTTCACCCCATCTTCTCAGGTCAGGACCTGCAGCACCCCCCTGGCCATGGCACATGAGTTGGGGGATGAGAGCCCAGGTAGGACCAGGGAAGGTGACCCATAAGTCTTCCCTTGGGAGTGTTGAGCCATTAATACCAGCAAGTAGAAGCTGGGATGGGCAGTGTCTGATAGCCAAAGAATTGGGTTTTGGCTTGCAGGGGTGGTTTTAGATTTGAGGTTTGCTTTGGGTTCACTATCAGGGATTTCTCCCCCCTTTCCTTGTATCCCTCCCCCTCCTGTGTTTCTAGACTAGGAAACACTAGTAAGTGCTACCCACCCCTTTGCAGCAACATTTCCAGATGGTCAAGTTTATATGCTCCCCTTCTCCCTCTACTGTTTAACCTCTGCTCTTCCCTTCTATAAAATTTAAAACATTTTTCTCCTCTCTGGCCGGCGGGTTGTCCATCTGATCCTGCCTTCCCAATGTCTGACCATCCCTTGGTGACCTTGTGTTACCCTGGGTGAGGTGGAAAGGGAGTCAGACCTGGAATCAGATGCTACTCTGTTTTTGGATCCACTTCCCACCTAAAGAGCCACACGTTTGGCACTGATGTCCTCGTGTCCCTCATCCCAGAAGAGACATCGGACTATCCCAGAAAAGAAGATCCTATCATGATTACAAGCTATGCGGAACACAGTTTCTCATGTGCTTTCCCAGGGAGGAGCTTGTATGTCTGAAGGGTGTATTTTCTTCTGTCATGTTGATGTTTCCTTCTTAATTTATAGGATTTTTTTAACGTAAAAAAATTGCACTGAACTCTATAAACGCAAATGCTGCTTTTTGTAGCTCATAAAAAAGGTTCCATATTTGTAGTATACTGCAATAATATTTTTTACATCTAGCTCTTTAAGTGATCCTTGTTCTGGTGGCTTTGTGTAAATATGTTTGCCTAGTTGAATTAAGAAACTAAAGGTTATAAGATGAAAGCAAAAAATAAAGTATTTGTTTTCTGCTAGATGCAAAATGACTAAGCATGTATATTTTATCAAACTCATGTATTTTTTGAAGTTACGAACTATAAAAATGTCAGAGCAAAAAAGGAACATGGTTTAACATTTTTGCTGGGACAAAATGTTCAGTCATTTACATTAAGTGGTGCCCCCAGCACTGGGATGTTTGATCTAATGGGCATCAGTCAGCTGGGGGTTCAGAGGAATACTCAGTTATGATGGTCTTCATATGCTTTGTTTTTGTTTTTTACAGAGAAACAGGTGGGCCCCACAGAGGAGGAAAACATTCAAGAGCTTTATTTGAAAGCAGTGAGATTCAGAGTGATTGGGGGTTTCTGATGCCTTGTTCTAGGCAGTCCATTTGCCTTCCTACTACTTAGCCTCCTCTGATAATTTTTTGTTTTTTAATGTGCCTTTTTGGTTGGCTAGAAACAAGTAGAAGAAGACTGGGGGATGGTAGAGTTCCGTTTTCTTCCTCCTCTTGTTGGGACATGAGCACATTTATAGATACTGCAAATTCTTTTGCTTCATAGTTTCCATGCCTTCAGCCCAGTTTAGCTTAAGCAGTAAAGATTCCTTTTCTCTTCTGTGACACCATGGCACCTAACAGAGGAAATAACCACCTCAGTTCCTCTTCCTCTTCTTGCTTTTCACCCAGGTTTTCAGACCTAATTAACACACTGACCCTAAAGTGTTTATATTGCAGTTCTCACCATCTTTGGTGTAATTAGCGGATCCCTGTTTGGCATTTCCCTGCCTATTCCTGTGGCTAGAATTGGTTGGGTGGTCACCTGACAGGAAAAACAAACCCTACTTACCTGGGCCAAGGCTCTGTGTTCTGCCTTTCTTCTCGAATTCCCAAATGGAAAAGGTTTTGAGTTTATGAGAAGCAAGTGCTGGACAAACAAGGCTCTTGACTGAGCCTCCTACCTGTTCAGTGCTCCTCACGTGGTTCAGAAGCATCACTTTTTTGATAACTCGCACTGGAAAAATGAAATGTCTTTGACGTGAAGGGTCTCATTTTTCTTTGCTTTCATGAAGCCCATGTAAATAATTTAAATAATACAGTATTAACATTTTTGTGCTATTGCCCTTCCCATTAGCTTGTAGATTGAGCCATACTCTGGCTGCCTCTGCCTTCCTGGGGGCAGTTTTCTTTAACTTTCAGAATAGTGATTTTAAAACTTTAAAAAAAGTAAAGAAAAACAAAATAGCCTACCCTTCCTTACAAGCATAACAGATTGTATTTAACTTTATCGCATATGATAGAGATATATATGCTGTAAAATTAGGGAAAGGAACTTTCTAATAAACCAATGATTTGTGGAAACTTAGCAGAGTCTGTTGTGATTGTTGCCCCATCCATTCAAGTTGGGAAGGGATGGAGTTCAGGGTTACAAATAACATCTTGTTTGAAGTGATCAAGGGATAGACTCTTGAGAACCAGTTTTTTATGATGTTTGGAATTGTGCTTCTCAGAGCTCAGGCTGCCCAGGTAGAGAGAACAGATGATGATGTGGGAGGACGTATAGTAAAGCTTCTCAGTCTTAAGTAGGTGCTTTGGAATGTGCACCTCTTTCTCACACGAATTTTCTATTTCTGCCTTACCTCTTGGGTATGTAATCTCTGTGTAATAGGGTATATGGCATGTAGGTCCTCACTAATAAGTAAGTGGGTTGGAATTCCTGAGTTTGATTTTTAAGATTTTGGATAAACTTCAGGGCAATGGAATTACAAGAGTCATCTGCCTGGCCTTTGCTCTCTAGAAGTAGTTCTGTATACCAGAACCAGTCTTGAATTATTCTCTTCAACCCTTTAATACCAGTACAGTACTTGAGAGCTACCTGGTGAAAGGAATAGGCCTTGTTACTGAGCTGATAAAAGCCTCCACTGTATCAAAAAATCACAAAAGGGAAAGTTTAGCATTAAAGCTAGCCACATAGATTTGCAGGATAAATTAGTTTCCTCTCTCTTCCTCAGTCTTTCAGGAAGGAGGAGTACAATGTCTATTTCTTTCCTACTCTCATAATAGCTGTGTTCTCCCCTTGACTGAAGAGAAGCTATTCAACATGGATGCTCAGATCTGCCTATTTTCCTAAAATAGCAAAATTCCTGCCCAGAAAGAAAGGATGTTAAAAAAATGAAAAGTAATGTTCTGAGCAGGCAAGGTGCCAGTGAAAGCAGCGGACTGGCCTGTAGAGAATGCTCTGTGCAGCTGCCTGCCTCAGCCACCTGGGCTTGCAACATGGACATGCCTCTTCTGTACCCTCAGTGACTAATCCAGGCCTTGTCAACCATTTCCATTCTTATTTACCAGAGACACCTTCACTTCCCCTTTATCAATTCATATCTGAATGTCTGCAGCATTTCCTGGCCGACCTCCCTGACTCTTAGGATATAATTCTCTGTCCCATATAAGCTTACTGGCTTTTCAGAATCTGAGTGCAGTTCATTTTGTGTTCACTGCTTCCCAATAAAATTAGAAGTTCTGGGAGGACGGGGATTGATTCTTATACTTCCTTTCTTTTTTTTTTCTTAATTCCTTAGAGTGTTTTACAGAGTTGAACACAAACATTTTGATTATATGTCCAAGAAAGATTTGAGCAAAGTAAAATACTACTAACTGAGGATTTTTATGCATCAGAGTTTGAAAGGAAACCAAAGGTGATAAAATGTTTTTCTTTATATCCACTTCACCTAGCTCAGTGCCAGGCACATAGTAGAAAATAATTGTGGACTAAATGAAGTCTTAGCAGAACTTTGAATTCATTGAGGGATCCTAGCACTGTTGGCTGATGGGATGGAGAAGTGGGAGCAGTGTGTCAGCAGCACTCCTGCCTACTATCAGAAAGGAGACTAACCCAGCTCTGACCCCAGAGGAACTCCCAGAAGAACAGAATTCTTATTGAATACCACACTCCTCTCCCTTCCCAAATCCGATGCTCTACCTGTTCCCAATTTTAGTTACTGGTACCACTGTCCTACCAGCCAACAAGGCACCAAAGCTTCGAGTTACTTGACACTTCCCCACCACATCCAGTTACTGATTGTGTAATCTCTGCTGTCTCCCTTGTTCCTGCCATCTGAACCCGGGTTTAAGCCTCATCCATCACTTTTAAACCAAGAGGATTGCAGTTGCTCTCCATCTGATCTTCCCAGTAAGTTCTGCCTTTTCCAGTTCCTTCTATCCACAGACAGTGTAATCGCCCAAATCAGAGCACAATTAGTATATCTCTTAATGTCTGACTTGAAAAATCTTCATGATTCTCCATCTTCAGATTAAAGTTCGAATTCCTCGATAAGGCATTCAAGGACTTCGAGTTATTTGACCCCAGCTTTTCATTCCACCCTAATGCCCACTCTGTCCTCATGCTCGAGTCCACCCTATCCTAAGTCAACTACTTCCCCTTCCCTATAACTGACCTTTATGTCCTGCCACTCTTAAAGAGATTCTCTGACAAGAGTGTAATGGATAAGAACATGATTTTAGCCCTAGCCGTTTTGGCTCAGTGGATAAAGCATCGGCCTGAGGACTGAGGGTCTCCGGTTTGATTCCTGTCAAGGGCACATGCCTGTGTTGCGGGGTAGATCCCCAACAGGGGGCGTGCAGTAGGCAGCTGATCAATGATTCTCATAGATGTTTCTCCCTCTCCCTTCCTCTTTGAAATCAATAAAATATATTTTTTTAAAACATGATTTTAACCCTGGCCTATTTGGTTTGGTGAATAGAGTGTCAGCCTGCAGACTGAAGGGTCCTGGGTTCAATTCCAGTCAAGAGCACATACCTCGGTTGCAGGCTCGATCCCCGGGGCACTTTCGGGAGGCAACCAATCGATGTGTCTCACATCAATATTTCTCTCTCACTCCCTTCCACTCTCTGAAAATCAATGGGAAAAATATTCTCGGGTGAGGATTAACCAAGAAATAAATAAAATCCTTTAGAAACAAACATGAATTTAAGCACAAACATATTTGAATCCACACATTGGCCGTGTAAACTTGGGCAATTTGCCTAAAACTCTGTGCCACAGTTTTGGCATTTATGAAATGGGCATAATAGTACCTATTTCATAGGAGTTGTTATGAGGAGTATATGATATAAATGATTTCAGCTAGACATAATCACCCTTTTCAAGGCATTCTTTACTCTTCCTCTGCTGGAGTTGTGTGTTCATGTCTTAACTCCCTCTTTAAAGATCCTTGGTCAGGGACCTTTGTATCCCTTACTACTCAGTGCCTTGAACAGAATAAATACTTATTTAAAAACTTTAGTGAAATGTGACTTAATTTGGGGCTACACAGTATACACCAATAATTACAATACCACTCCGTTGAGGTCAGTGGGAAGGTGGTAGGTAAGTATAAAACTGAGTTAAGTATTCATTCTAATAGATGCATTACATGCCTACTGTGGTCCTGGGACTGAGAAATCAGCAGTGAAGAAGGCCTGGACTAAAATTTAAGGAGCTTTTAACCTAGTAAAGGGCAGGATTTTGAGCTTTGTGTTGAGATGGTGAATTAGGAGAAGGGAGGAGCCGAAGGGTTTCCAAGATAAAGATGGTTGCAATTGATCAGAAAATATAGAGCACACACACACAAAAAAAAGAAAGAAAATATAGAGCAAAAGGAGAATGTGGCCATGTTCCTGTTCCCCTGGCAGATCTTGAATTTCCTTCCTGAGAACCTATTTTTGGGGGGAGACATGTAGTGTCACTAAGACTTGGCACTCTTGCTCACATCCACAGAAAATGACCTTGCCTTTCTACTCAAAACTATTCCTTCTCTTTCCACATGTTTGCATCTTCCATGCTCAGTGCACGCTCCATTCAGTCTGTCAGCAATACCTATTACAAGTTGGGCTCTCGGCTAGGCCCCAGACTACAGTAAAGAAACTTGCTCTCCAGGGATTCATGGACACGATCCAGTGAACAGGCCATGATAAACTATGTGTTAATTCCAGGGTGCCAGCCTGAAGAGTTGGAGGAGGCTTCCTGTTGGCCATGACCCCACTAGAATCGGTTCTTGATGATTGGACAAGAGCTCTGTCACCAGAAAGAGTGAGGGGGCCTGCTTTCTACCAAACAGCTGGTGAATAATCACAAAGCCTATGAGCCAGAATACCCTGATCTGACTCCACTTTATCCCCATCTCCCTTCTCCCTTCAACCAAGACCCATTCACCATCCCTTCCCCAGCCCTGGCTGCACTGCTTGACCACATTAAGACTTGGCCTGAGATGGAGGAAGAGTGAGGAAGCTGCTGCACCAGTGTGACTGACTGAAGCTGCCCAAAGCCCTAAAAGGAAGTGGATAGGTGCCTTATCCAAGAGGGTACAGCAGCCCAGGTCTTATCAGGAGGCAGCAGCTTCCTTACTCCTTCCCCCACCGCTAACCAAGTCATTATGTGCCACAGGAGTGCAGGCAGCTGTGTGGGAGGAAGAGGGGCCATAGAACTGTGGGCTAGAGTGGAGGTGTACAGACCAGCTAGTTCATGGTTTTACTATCCCAAGCAGAAAGCCATGATGGCTTAGACTTGCATGGTGGTAGTAGAAATGGCGTGAAGATTCAAGAGACATGCCCTGACTGGTTTGGCTCAGTGGATAGAGCGTCGGCCTGCGGACTGAAAGGTCCCGGGTTCGATTCCAGTCAAGGGCATGTACCTTGGCTGTGGGCACATCCCCAATGGGAGGTGTGCGGGAGGCAGCTGATCGATGTTTCTCTCTCATCGATGTTTCTGACTCTCTATCCCTCTCCCTTCCTCTCTGAAAAATCAATAAAATATATTTAAAAATAAAGATTCAAGAGACATAGTTGAGAGGCAGAACCAACAAGACTTGGTGATAGACTAGTCTCAGGAAAAGGGAGGAGTCATAGCTTTCAGCCATCAGCATCCACCCCCAGGGTGGCCTCACCCCCTTCCCTTCCTGGCAATCCTAGAAACCAAATGGGTCCAGGGCCAACAGCCCTGTTTTCCGCCTACTGTTCAGTAAGTGGGTTCAAGTTTGATAAGAAAAGACTTCCTGTGGTGGAAACTGAAAGGAAGAGGAAGGAGTTAGTCCATTCCTTCCAAGCAGGTTGTGGGAGAAGGAAAATGGCCAGAGCTTTGTGTCCACTTCATGCCCTCTGGCTTCTGGAGTGGGTGCAGATGCTCTTGGGACCCGGTGCTGCGCCTCCAGCCTGGGCCTTGAACCTGGACCCAGTGCGGCTCACCTTCTACACAGGCCCCAATGGCAGCCACTTTGGGTTTTCATTGGACTTCTACAAGGACAGCCATGGGAGGTAAGCCCTGGGGGAAGTTTGGGTGTTGGGAGAGAGAAAGATTCTCCCACCATCACT